CAGTAATAGTTATAAAAATATATATATATATATATATATACATATTTTGTTATAAAACAAAATTTATAATTAATGGCAAGCATTGTAGTTTTTTCTGGTTAAATTTATGGCAGATATGATTATTACGCGACTAGAAAAATTATATCAATTTGTATCAAACCATCTTGAAATGAGGTGATGATTTTGCTCTTGTCATATACATTATTTTGGACTTTTGAAGAATTAGCAGCAGTATGCAGGTAATCTGATTGAGCGTATACAGATGTTACAGCACTTAATGGTGAATCGTACATGATTCGCTCAAAATCACCACTTGTGCCTAAAAGATATAGAATCTGTTGATTGGTACAGACAGCTGCTGCAGTTTCGCCTGTTTCAGATCTTAGGTTTTTATCAGCACCATTTTTCAAGAGCAAGGCAACAATGTCCAAGTGTCCTTCTTTACATGCCCAATGTAAAGCAGTCCTTAAGAAACATGAATAAATAAGGAAATGAATAATAAATAATATGACAATATTAAATAAATCTGACTTGCATTTGTATTACAAGTACGACTTTCAGAGAATGTGAGTTACAATCATTTAATGAATATTTGGGTATGAACTTTATAAAAAAATTCTGGAAATAAATCTATGTCCAGAGAACGCGTGCCTGTTTGACACCTTGCATTGTAAAAATATCGAAGACAGAGTGACAAGTACCATCCGCTGACAGGTTCCCGCGCGTTGACGTTGACACCTAGATTTAAGAGATCTTGCACGCCGTCTGCATCGCCGAGACAGACTCTTTCCCTTAAACGCTCCTCGAGCATTCTTTCCATTTTGCAGCGATTTTCACGCGTGCTACGTATGTGTTCCCATCATATATTTGTAACGCTGCAATCGAGCGAAAACGCTGGAAGATCGAACACCAAACGTGCAAGATAAGGACTAGATAAGACAAGAATACAGAATACCAGCGCGTCTCGGAAACGCAGATAAGAACTGATAAGAACCTCTATATTCTAAAATCGTCGAGTTCAAGTTGTCTGGAGACATCTGGAGACACCTCTGTTCTAGATTTCTGGGATGAAACTACATAAGTCGTTAACGCGAAGCCATACGGAGTTTATCCATTTCTATCAATATCGATTAATCTTAATTTATTCTTTATCTTTTTCTAAGTTTTAAAATTAGAGAGAAATATAAAATAAAGTCGAAAAAAAAAATTAATTTATATCGATAGTAATGGATGG